TGTGTGTTTTGATAGAGGCTCGCTTACCTGGTGTCTCTGTGTGTTTTGATAGAGGCTCGCTTACCTGGTGTCTCTGTGTGTTTTGATAGAGGCTTACCTGGTGTCTCTGTGTGTTTTGATAGAGGCTTACCTGGTGTCTCTGTGTGTTTTGATAGAGGCTCGCTTACCTGGTGTCTCTGTGTGTTTTGATAGACAATAACAGTGGCTAATGGATGGTAATACCGATAACATAGATTCGAATATCGTTATTCTTGGCAGGAATATAAACTGAAATTTAATAAGAGGGGAGTTCGTAGAGTTATTGAGGTGAAAATAAGCGTGAAAATAAGCGTGAAAACAAGCGTTAGATACAGGGATATACAGGGATATACAGGGATATTACAAGGTTACCAGGTAGTGGTAACTATGGTAACAGGGATATAATACTGAATACTTATACTAGATAGAAACTAGAACACAACCAGGTGATAATATCAGCATTCAGCGGGTAAATTAAAATAAAGGTAGAACACAAAGATGTCCTGCAAGATGATCTCAACTCTGTTGTTAATTGGGCTAAGTGCAACAACATGGCCCTTCATGAGGATAAGTTTGAGCTTCTTGTTCACAAGCATTGTCCAAAGAATTCCTTGTTTGATCATCCATTCGCCATCCAAGCTCAAACATATGAAGTGTCTAACGGAAACATGCTGTACCCCACTCAAACGGTGAAAGATCTAGGAGTGACAGTTTCCGCTGATTTGTCCTGGACCCCACACGTCAACAGGATAGCTGAACGCGCAGGAAAAGTTGCTTCTTGGGTGCTAAGTGCGTTCAAAACGAGAGACAAAGCCACCATGATGACTCTGTACAAGTCTCTCGTTAGAAGCCATCTGGAGTATTGCTGTCCTCTGTGGAATTGCTCTAAGAACAAGGACATCCAACAGCTAGAAGGGATTCAGCGTACGTTTACATCGAAAATAGATGGCACCCAGCACCTCAACTACTGGCAGAGATTAAAGGCCCTAGATCTGATGTCATTGCAAAGAAGAAGAGAACGGTATCTAATCATCAACATGTGGAAAGTTCTGCATTGCAAGTGCCCTAATGATATTGGTATCCAGTTCTCGGTGACTCTCAGACATGGTCAAAAAGCAGTTGTGCCCAGTATAGCTAAGTCCAGCAGTCAACGTAATCAAGCACTACACGACAACTCATTTGCAGTCACTGGACCTCGATTATGGAATGTAATCCCAACACATATGCACACCATCGAGGATCCTATGCAATTCAAAGCAGCTTTAACGAACTTTGTGAAGTCATTTCCGGACGAGCCTCCAGCTCCAGGATACAGCCGTCGGAATGGAAACTCCTTGCTTGATTGGAGTGGTGATAAAACAGTTTCTACACTGTCCGGGGGGTCGACTTTTTCGATGGCCCGATAGAGGATTCTATGAAACCCTACAAAGTAACAAAGTAAGTAACTACAATTAACTTCCAGATAAGGCTCACATCTAGTTCAGAGACCGTCACGTGACTAGAATACAGGGCTCTAATTGGCTAGTTTGTATCACGTGACTAGAATACAGGGCTCTAATTGGCTAGTTTGTATCACGTGACTAGAATACAGGGCTCTAATTGGCTAGTTTGTATCACGTGACTAGAATGCTGATCTCTGATTGGCTGAGCTGGAAATAAGAGCCGCTGATTGGAGGAATGGAGTGTCAGGAAGTTGGATAATTGATCAAAGAGACGTGAGTAGACACCGCTCAATTGTTCAGATTATTACTGATAACTACCACTACAGCTAGGTCTGATAATTGCACTGATATTATTATGATCCACCACAACGGGAGATTACTTCTTCAACCGATAATACAATTGTAGCAGTAGTGTGTATAATGATAATACAATTCTATCTAGATACTGCCTACAATTGGTTGTTTGAATTTAACAATTAACGATTATATTATTACACCTAAAAGCAGCTGAGAAGCTTCAATTTCAAAGTAAACAAAACGCAGCGGAGCCTTTAAAAACATTGTCTAATTGACTGAAATCTACTGTTGCACAAACAATGTATAAATAAGACTTGTTTGTGCAATATAAAAACTTGGATGCGGTTGTAAGCGTTGTTTAAAGAGAAGCAAAATGTCCGCATATATATATAGCAATATAGATGTTCTAGAAGAAGCAGGCAAGAAAATTTGAAATAAATCTCAAAATTTGTCAGGATGATTGTTGAGGTGTCGTCACAATTACTCAATATTAGTCTACTTCAACTGTATAGTATATAGTGTGTATAGTAGTAGTATTAGCTCTTTATAACGGCGGAATTTAGCACGAATCTTGTATTTACATTTGAGAAAGCCAATTAAACGGCGGTTAGTAGTTCGGAGCAAAACAAAAAATGTGGCTGAAAATTGAAAAGAATGAAGAATAGTTCATCAAGTTGTCGCAATCCTTGAAATGTTACATGCTACGGAGCAAATCACAACATGCTATGTACTATAACAAAACACGAGGTTTATATTTACACAGGATTTAGGAGATGAGGTGTTGTGATTACTTGCTGACAAGAATGGAAAAATAATTATCAATATTACTTTTTCGTGCGAGATTTTAATGCCTCATTGACGTTTCCACTGTTGGTGGCCTCAATTTAATTACTTGAGGTGAGATCATGGGTGGATATGGCTCTGCGGGGCATTATAAAGGTTTAAAACTGATAAATAGGACCCACAGTTCCAATGGATCTCACGACGAAATACAAATTTACACAGAGATAAATGATGAACTAAGCGTTACTGTTTTATCAGAAGAAGATATGAAGAATCTCCGTGCGAACTGACACTAAGTTCCTGATACGTTCTCTCATATCTTATACCAATTATCACTGAAGTACCTTTATAATTAACAACGGGTCGAATGTCAAATCAGCTCAACAAACTTGCCATGTATTACGAAATATGACGAAAATCAGGACAAAAGCAGCGATACGGGCAGGAAATTAGATACTTCATCTTTGACAAGTATGACTTGCATTTTAAAAGTGTATCAGGCATTAGCTCCAAACGTAGCGCTAAACAGTCTTATTAAAGTTATAGAAACATGTTGAAAAGCTAAAACAGTAAGTCTGGAGGATGTCAACGTCTTTCTAGGGCGTACAGTAACCGTGTGTGAAGTATTACGAGCCAGCTTGAACGAATGCACGCTAACACTGATGTCCGACCCCTCGGAGCCTGTGCATGATAATTACAAAGATTCACTTCAAATTATTCAACACTAATTCTGATAAATAACATTATCATAACCAACCCCTCCAAACACTCAGTTAAATACCTCCGCTCGCGCTCACAGCACACAAACTCTCCCATTATCTTGTTAAAGCCACTCGGAGACAAGGTTGTGTAACAATAAAGCAAAACATAAGTAGATAACAAGACAAAAGTGAGCGAGAGATCAGTCAGTGAATCAATTACAGTTAAACTCGCAGAGAAAAAGATCTTTATTGTAGCATTTTAACACGTACAGGTAGCAGGCGGTTTACATTGGTAATACGTACAGAGTTTAAGAAAGAGACAGCAAGAGAGAAATTAAATCATCCAATCCAACGAATTGCACTTTAAAGTACTTTTAATTTACGTCAGAGTAAACAAATTGATGAGCAATCAGACTGCTGACCAGCAGATTGAAGACAACAAAACAAATAGATCTGCATGATCTGGAAACTGTATAGTGGTCTGGAGCGCAGAGAAACAGTCGCACGATGCATCTGTTGTAATGACTTATAAAGGAGAGGAGGGTGTTCTGACCATGACCTGAACTGCCAACTTCATATCTTATAGAGACAGCAGTCTGCAGAGCAGAAAGTGCGGTAATGTATCACACAAGCATCTGTAGATGTGATTCTTTCAGGGGAAATAAGCTGGTCAGAGCACGAGAAAGAGTGATGGTAACCATGGTAACGAGATAGCAAGGTCAGCCACCAACCCTGGGTATTCCTCATTCAGAAACTTAAAGCTGTCTAATCCAGATTGAAATAGCTTAAAACTAAAGGTAGGGTTGTTGGCCACACCTAATGAATAATGTATCGACAATGTTTCAAGTTCTACTCAAATCTAGGAACGTAAAACAGTATGTGCACGTTAGATACATCATATCCTGGTATCATGCATGTCACATGACCTTAATAACTCTAATTAGAATATAATAATAGTAATTAGATTGGCGACACACGACTTGGGGGGCCGGGGGGGGGGGTCTTAATGTTTATCCTAATTAGAACTGTTTCGAGCCTTGAACTGGACTTGGAGTGATGTTTTTCCATTAACGGAGTCTTGAGACATATGTTAGTAACTAAGTAGCAGACACTGCATGCTAATATGTCCTGATATCCTAGGGTCAGGGCCCAGGGGGCAGTATACCTCCACGTTAACAAGCAGTCTCTAAATCAAATGTCAGCCGTCAGACTGCGGACTGTCTAACAACAATGAAGTGTCACATCTTGAAGTTGGCGTAATTTGACAAGTGTGATCGTGACCAGCGGCTTGCGAACCTTTTAAAGCTAGTTATAAACTTAAAATCATCTACATCATACACCCATCATACACCCATCAGGCAGCTTTCTAAATAACGATAGTCACTAAATACATGTTATGCTGTCGCGCGCGGTGGCGCGCGCGGAACTGATGCATTCACGCGCAACTTAAAATACAGAAGTTGTTATCGCGCGTTCCATAAACTTTAAGAAAATACCCTTCATGTCCCGTAAAGGGAGCCGCAAACCGCAGGAATTTGATCTTAGTTGTTTCTTAGACGGTCAGAAGACTTGCTATAAAAGATACCGCCTTCTTTGTTACTATCTTCAAAGTAAAACAGGGCAAAAATAAAGTTGATGTGTGTTCCTAAACGAAGTCTTAAGCCAAGTGACATCACAAAAAATGACGAAAAAACAAGATATTAACTGAAAATAACTAATTATAACATATTAAACATGATATTGATATAGGATAAATTACCTGTTATCTTGGTCATTAGGGTTTGATTTCTCAAATAACTCCTGAAATAACACAAGTCAGTCAAAGCTGAACGGGGTTTGCAATTTAAAAGAGTGTAGCTAGAGATTTGTTACAGATTGTTACGCAGATTTATAAAATGAAGGAGTGATGGTAACCATGGTAACTAAGATTGTGAAAATTAGCCACAGTTTTTAACTTAGTTGTTACGAAGAAGAACTTAAATAAGAGCATTAGTTTTCAACTACAGATAAAGTAAAATTAACTAAAGTAACTAGATATTGAAAGAGAGCCATTCTTTAAACCATTCTTCAGTTTGCTCCTTACTTACTCAGTGAAAGTATCGATGAATGGGACTTGCCACACCACGGAAACATTAAAATATATCGACTCAGTTACATTATCTACATTAACTAGCTACTAGTAGTAGTATCTAGCTAGCTGTAACTTACATTATCTGTCCTATAACCACCATACTTTATGGAAAGTTTCAAAAAAATCGTACGGTAGGATCCGACATAACTATTGTCCGTATAACCTATTTTCTGAGTCGGACAGATGTCGCCCAATGGCCAATCTACATTAGCTAACTACTACTCTACTACATCGCTTCGTCAATAAATTAAAAAGATTTGTAGTATTTCAGGTTGAGAGCCACATTACCATTAAAGTATGTACAATGATTTTATTTAATAAAGTTAACGATAGCGGGGTCTTTGCGGGGATATGATGAAATGAGTACACATTGAGGAACATTGAGGAACATTGCAGACTTACAGTTTGTAATACCACACAGCAAATACTAATCTATTACATTGACATGTATGACTAGACTATCAAATACATTGTGCTGTGTAACCATGGTAATTGTGTTGTGATTCTAGGATGTGTAGATCTTTCAAATCGCAGCAATATAATTCGTCTCATGTGTGGAACATAACACATAGGTGCTACGGGTTATGACATTTTCGTGATTCAGTAATTTTGTTACGCAGATTAAGAAATTCTAACTTATTTGAGGCTTATATTAACAAATTGTACTTAAGTCTGAGTTTTCTCAGGGGGATTGACATATCTAACCCAAAACAATGCACATTAAGTGTTGAAATTCAGTGTAACTGTGAATATGTGAGTACAATAGGATGATCTCAGAGGAATAACTAGTAAGATATGATCTCAGTAAGCTAGAAGTGAACAATACTTAATAGTATACTACTATATATGTTTAAGAGGAACAGTCAGACATCACCAATTTAATATAACCTAGGGGGGGGTGTAACCCAAAAAAACCCAAAAAAACCCAATCCCAGTATTACCTTTTTCAGGGTAGGAGTTGGGTTTTTTTGGGTTTTTTACAAATTTTTTATTTGAAGGAAATAAAATCATGTAGGCACCTAGCAAAACAATTATCAGTACAACATCACTGTTGTGGTTCATCACTACAACATCACAATAGATATAATCGCTTAAATATCACCCAAAAGCAGTATTTTATTCACTGATGTGCTCAGAAGAAGTTGGCCATCCAGATATGATATCAGCCATATAATGTAATGCTCACTTCGATGGCCATGGCAAATTGAGTTAGGAGGGACGCAACTCACTAATGACCCCAACCCTGACCGCAACCGGTACGAGAGGAATAAAGCCTTTCTTCTCACCTTCACGATCTCTGTTTCCGTTTTCCTGATCATCCGCTTAACGAGAAACCATGCTCTATCTCCAACTGAAAGAATCTTGCAGTTACCATCAGCTGCATGATCACATGTGATATTAAGTGATATCTTCGCTTGTTTATGGCCCTGGAGTCGCTAAAATCTTGACTGGGATGGAATTCGATCTCACCCTCCATTGAGGCAAACCTCAACAGCCGTATCATGATGCAGAGCATCACCATACACAGTTACTATTTTCGCCCATTCCTCTGATGAGTCAATATCCTCCACTTCCTCTTCGTCATCATCTGTTTCCGCTTCGTCACTCTCTGCTCCGTCAGAAGATGGTTGGAAAGCCTCTCCTTCAAAGTTACAGTGTTCTTGAATGAGTTATCTACCCCTTGAGACTCCCTTCTTCATAGCTTGGAACAATCTTGGGATTGAAGTATCTTTACCTCAAAATAGTTTCTCTGCTTTCGGATGCGGTATAACAAGCTTGTTGCGAGAGTGGGCAACTGTTACAGGGATCAAACTTTTGCCGAGTGCATCAAGCTCGAGGGAACGGTTTGATTTGCCCATGCCAACCAACATATCCTTAGAACACAGATTAGTTCTAATGCCTGCATGGAGGCCTATGCGCAGGAAAGCATAAAGTTTGCTCACAGGCATCGGATGTAAACAGCCAGGGCATAAAGTGTTGATAACTGTTGTCAGCTGTTACACTGAGAATGTACAGCATCAGACCCTCGACTGTAATAATCGTATCATCAAAATTTTTACAGACGTAGGCAGGTGGTCTTTCAATGGTTGTGTGAAGCTTAGGTGGCCCAAGGCGTAACCGCTGGATAGAAGCTGGGTGGAAGCCCTGGTCTGATGTGAGGCTCCCGAACTTTGAAAAGGGGTATCCTGCTGGTGCCCTCTTCCAGACACTCATCGGACAGCATGATGAAAGCCACTACCTCCGCGTGGTGAAGACTGGATACTGGACAGGGGGTCCAGGCTAAAGGCAGGACGGTCGACGGGAGACATTGAGCCCTGGAAGTTCAATAATTTGATCTATTGACTCCTTAACTCTTGGTCTACAAGAGGCTTTGAGACTCGTAAATCTTTACTGTGGATTGCACAGTAGCTAAAGAGGTGTTGGCTGTTACCCTGTTCAACCTAGTCTACTATGACCCAGCTAGACCGGACCACACTCTGGTAGTCACTAGTCAGGATACGGCTCCCTATGCCCGGGGTACCGGGTAATGAGGTAGTCAGGGGAAGGGTTAGTCCCCGCTAAAGTGTAGCTCTGTTCTCACTCTAACCTCCTTATGCTTTGGGATAAAATCGGAAAGTCCCACACTGGAGCAGGTGACGATTGGGTAAGGATTACAACTGATGCTGTTGGGTAGAAAAAGGAAGTGTCACATTTGTCTTGTATAGCATATGTTCGTGCAATTACATGCTCAAGATACCCAAGATATTATGGTGAGAGTTAAATATGGCTATTGTTCAAGCGGATGCCCTTAACCTTTTAGTGGCGCAAGAGTTAAGAACACAATCCACTGCCAATGTGCAGGGGACTGCACAGGATTGTGAGCCAACTGAAAAGTAAAGATGAAGTTTATCAACAGCTGAAGGGTTAAAGCCCCTTATTTTTCTAATGGAAGTGGTTGCCAAGGTAATTACGCTGCTATTACAGAAGCTGATGTTCTGATGACTCGATCTCCACAACACGACAGCCTATTTCTACAGAAAGTCAAACAAGAAAACATCAAAAAAATATGAACATCAATCGCATTGTATCATGTAAAAGGGCTGCTCAGGTTGGCACGTTTAACATAAGAACAGTCAGAGAACGCATCGAACTTGAAGAACTATTTTCTCGAAGCAAGCTGCACATCCTTGCCCTGCAAGAATCGAACATCGGGTAGTGCACTAGTGCATGCTGATTGCTCAGAATACCAGAATAGAAAAGATGAACAAAGGGATTCATCCAGTGATCTCATCTGCGTGGAGAAACGCAGCTGGCGCTTCTAATGGGAGAGTAGGAATCATCTTGACGAGGACAGCATATGAGGCTATAAGTCTTATAAAGTTATAAAATCTTACAGCGCAAAGATCCTCACCATGTCTCTTAATGGAAAGCCCAGGCTCACTGTCATCACATGCTACAGTTCTACAGAAGCCTCATCTGATGAGGAGGCAGGAAATCTCTTTTGTCTAAAACCAAGGATCTTACAGTTAATTTAGTAGGAGAGGAGCCACACACAATAATTTCTAAGGACGGACATGCCTTAGAAGAAGTTGAGGATTTTAGTACAACGGAGCACGACTTTAGGTTACGCAAGGCCAAGGCATGGGCTGCCTACCACAAAATGTAGGCTATATGGAGGTCCAATTTGTGCCGAGATTTAAAGATCCGTCTGTTCAAGCTACGGTTGAATCAATCTTCCTGTATGGACCGAAAACGTGGACAATAACAGAATCTTTGAAGAAAAGAATAGACGGATGTTACAGTAGAATGCTTCGGATGGCCCTAAACGTGGACTGGAGGGGACATCGCACCAACAAGGAGGTCTTTGGATCACTCCCAAGAGTTATTTCGAAGATACAGGCCAGAAGAATGAGGTTGGCTGGGCACATCCAGCGACATGATGACCTGGCAGCACACCAACTTCTCCTTTGGGAACCTAGGGAGGGATAGACCACCGCTCACCTTCGTCGATAACCTAATAAGTGACACTGGACTCAAGAACACTGGGGAGATTCAGGAGCTTATGGCGGACAGAAAGCTTTGGAGACACATCATCGAGAGTCGGACTCTGAAGCCGCCTTAAGTCAAGTAATTTAAGTCATGTGCTTTGACTTGCCTTGACCTTCGTCATAGCCTCCTTCCATGACAGGGGAACACATTTGCCGCATTTGGCACATTTCCACTTTGTGCATTCATATGGATACTCTAGTAGCAGGGAATAGTTGAGTGTGCACTTCGATGTATACGATTTCTGACAACACAGGATTGTTTGTTAGATCATTCTTAACCAAAATCGTTTAGGTACGCAATTTGTGTCGCTAGACATAACCCTACAGGGCAAATTTTCTAAATTACCCTCAGTCGCGTATACGGGATTTTTGTATTTCAGCTCCTGAAGGTCATAGAGACTTCAATTTTAGCTTAAAATTACTGCAATGGACATATTTATATACAAGTTATGAAGCAATATAAGGTCTCCAGTGCTTTGTTTTATAGATATTGACAAAAAACTGTTTTTTGGCTCAGCGAACCAAAAATGGGACTGAATTTTGGTAACTTGAACTAGGAAGATCGTAGAGACTTGAATTTTAGCTTAAAATGAGCGCAAACATCACATTTATATACAACTTATAAAGCAATATAAGCCCTTTAATGCTTATTTGTTAAGATATTGACAAAAATCGGTCATTTTGGCTACACGCGTGAGGAAAAATACCAAATTGGGCAACAACTTTGGTCTTTTTTTGACCAGTTTTGTGCTCAAGTTATTAAAATGTGCTTTGATGTTGTAGATCGGGTGTTTTCTTCCAATATGGGTTTCGGTATAAATCCGGAAGCACCCGGTTCATGGGTGATAGGGGTTAAAAACCCTAAAATGTCAGGCGATGGGCGAGACAATTGTCTGAATTTGGTTATAAAAACACTTGCACTCTTTGCTAGGGTTTGCTTTTTTCTGCTACATCGATCCGATTTCTAACTACTAATCATCCCCCTCTACATCATTCTCTTTTAGATACATGATTTCTATAAGTTCTTGAAGGTACATCGGGCATGATGTAAAGTCTATATCAAAGCATTTTAATGTGGTCTTAACAAGTTGCAAGATATTCAAGTTCACTAATAAAACAGAGATTGTAGGATATTCTTCTTTTAAATATTGAGTAATTGTGGGCTTTTTGAGGGGAGGCTATAAAATGGCCAAATATAACTTTAACGTAAACGACCCAATAATAATATTAAACGTAGAATGAAACTACTTAAAACTTATACAGATTCATGGTATCCTGTTTCAAGACGCTTGCTCCTGATTTTTAGCAACAATATCGACTGACCCCACGACGTTGTAATATAATTGTGGGTAGGCAATCACTTGATCTATAAGTTTTGAACGGTAGTTTGTAAAAATAATTACATTCTACTAACATTATACGCTCCTACTATGCAATTACTAGCCTCTGGACTAACTCCCAATCATCTGTCCATATAATGGTGTTTCTGGACAGATAGATGGTGTATGATGCCCTCATGCTAATTTCAGCGATCTTCATGCAGGCCTTTTTCTCTTTAGTGTTTACGTTCAGGTGGTTCATAAAGGTTTGGAGGCTGCAGTTGTAAATGCTGATATCTCTTCATATTCTTTTGTCTTGATCAGCAAAGTTCGCTTCATAGGATTATATCTCGATGAACGAGACATCCTGTTTGCTATCGTGATAACATACTATCAATATAAACACACTTATATACTATGTAAACTATCTATTAAGTTAAGACATGAGAACAACACGTAGGTAAGACTCAGTGGGAAATAATTCACATTCAATACAATTAATGAAATGGCTAGAATTTTGTTTAAATTTTGTTTAAAAACCCAAAAAAACCCAAAAAAACCCAATCCCAGTATTACCTTTTCTTGGGTAGGAGTTGGGTTTTTTTGGGTTACACCCCCCCCCAACCTAATCCTAATTAGGGTTATATTATTATCCTGCTAATCCTAATAACGTGATATGGTAACCATGGTAATTATAACGTGATATGGTTGACATGTCTGACTTTAAGTCGGCTTTCATTGACAAATATAAATATATAATCTATACTAAATGAACCTTAAATCTCCGAATTATTACAGCAAGATCAGGTATCAGTTCTGGGTTAAATATTTACAGATCTGATATTCCATTATGTGTGATCTATTAGATGACAAACTGAGAACCAGAACTAATAGAACCAGAACTAATAGAACCAGTAACCATGGTTACTGGTTCTCAGGGTAACTGAGTAACCACGTAAGCTGACAGAGGTATGTGGTAGGAATGCAGAGAATGGTTTAAAGCCAGGTTATGTGGGTATCCTAGGGTAACATGTATGTATGTATGTATGTATGTATGTATGTATGTATGTATGTATGTATGTATGTATGTATGTATGTATGTATGTATGTATGTATGTATGTATGTATGTATGTATGTATGTATGTATGTATGTATGTATGTATGTATGTATGTATGTATGTATGTATGTATGTATGTATGTATGTATGTGGGTATGTATGTATGTGGGTATGAGAGGGTGGGGTTAGTACCTGTGACTGTTTGTCAAAGTCCCAGGCCCCAGGGCCCGGGTTAGGGGTCCAGGTCTCAGGGCCCGGGTTAGGGGTCCAGGTCTGCTCAGCTGGTTCTGCTGCATCCCAGATATCTGCTCTATCAGAGATATTATCTCCTATCTGAAAGTTACCATGGTGATAATTTACTCAATTTAAAGTGCTGTACAGTGAAGCTCGTTCATTAAAAGAGGTTACAAATTAGAAAACATTTAAAAATGTGGTAAAAATGAGTAAACATGAGGAGGAAATAGTCAGGTGACAGATTATTACAAGCTTTGTTATGATAACCCAGTCATTAGCGAGACTAGTCTAAAAGCTGTGAACACTGCTTCTACACTAGTAATACTAATACACCTTGCGGGTAAGCTGGTCTTAACACGGATGTAATTAAACCTGTGTAGTGTGTACACTCTACACTATACACTATACACTATACACGCCTTATAATGGTAGACTACATTAGTATACACTAACAGGCTACATCATCCCTCATAACGCTTACACAGCTTTTATCAAAGGTAAAACACTTACTGTTATGAACTTCTATCGAAACAAAACGTTTGGAAACCAAGTTATAATGCAGTTCGAACTAAACTTTTTTATTGCTTCGAAAAGGTTTTTTTAAATACTTCAGGGTTATTTTCTAAGATATAACTTGTCTCAATATCGTTAATTAAGCTTACTCTCACCACTACATACTACTACTAATTTCACTTACATCATTAGCCATAAGAGCAAGGTTTGACTGAGCGAACGCTTCGTAGGATATAAATCCATCTTGTCCGATCTGGTTTAAGATGTCGTCAGCGTAGTCGTCATCGTAACCAAGATGTCTACAAACCTCCACTAAATCAGTCCTGTGGGAGATTTCCTCGTGAGAA